TTCCCCTCCTCAGCATCTGATGGTTTGCCAAAATTTCCTTGGAGCCGACCGAGAGTCGTTATCCAAGGTCTCACCGAACCCTTCCCATATCTGAGCTTTTGCCTCAGAAACAGTCAAGGCTGCGGACCGCTTGGCCCTTCGGTACTCCTCAGCTGCCTCTGGAGTCCCACTCGCCTACAAGGCCCGACAGGACTCCTTCTTCAGCTTGACAGCCTCCCTAACCCGGGGTGTCCACCACCAAGTTCGTGGATGGCTACCGTGAGAAGCACCGACAACCTTGAGGCCACAGCTCAAGGCAGCTACTTCAACAAGCGAGGTGTGGAACATGGCCCACTCGGACTCAATGTCCCCCACCTCAGCTGGGATGCGGTTAAAACTCTCCCGGAGGTGTGAGTTGAAGAGCTCTCTGACGGGTTCTTCTGCCAGGTGTTCCCAGCAAACCATCACTACATGTTTGGGTCTAATGGGTCTGTCCGGCATCTTCCCCCGCCATCTGATCCAACTCACTACCAAGTGGTGATCAGTTGACAGCTCAGCTCCTCTCTTCACCCGAGTGTCCAAAACAAACAGCCGCAAATCAGATGACACGACTATGAAGTCTATCGTCGATCTATGACCTAGGGCATCCTGGTGCCAAGTGCACTTATGGACACCCTTATATTCGAACATGATGTTTGTGATGGACAAACTATGACTAGCACAGAAGCCCAACAACAGGACACTGCTCGGGTTCAGATCAGAGAGGCCGTTCCTCCCAATCACGCCCCTCCAGGTCACACTGTCATTATCCATGTGGGCATTGAAGTCCCCCAGCAGAATAAAGGAGTCCCCAGCTGGCGCACCTTCCAGCACCCCTGCCAAGGACTCCAAGAAGGCCGGCTATTCTGAACTGCCGTTCGGTGTATAGACACAGACAACAGTCAGAGTTCGTCCCCACATCCAAAGACAAAGGGAAGCCACCCTCTCATCTACTGGGGAAAACTCCAACACACAGGCACCAAGTCGGGGGGCTACAAGTAGACCCACACCAGCTCAACGCCTCTCACCGTGGGCAACTCCAGAGTGGAATAAGGTCCAGCCCCTCTCAAGGAGATTGGTTCCAGAGCCCATGCTTTGCGTTGAGGTGAGTCCAACTATATCTAGTCGGTACCTTTCAACCTCACGCACAAGCTCAGGCTCCTTCCCCACCAGAGAGGTCACATTCCATGTCCCAAAAGCCAGCTTTGGTACCCTACCATACCATTTTATTTATAAAGCACTTTAAACAGCAACAGGGCCAACCAAAGTGCTGTACAAACAGAAACAAACAGGCAAAGCACACAGCAACACATAACATAACATAACGTAAAATCAATATATAGAAACAAAATAATAGCAGATAATAACATAATGACTAACACAGTGTAATGCATACAGGATCAACACAAACCATACAGTGTTGAAAGCCAGGGAATAGTAGTGGGTTTTTAAGTGGGATTTAAAAACTGTGAGGGAGGGGGCCTGCCTGACAAGCAGAGGTAACTTGTTCCAAAGTCTTGGGCCTGCGACAGAGAAGGCCCTGTCACCTCTGCGCTTAAGACGGGTTCCTGGAACAGTGAGAAGCAACTGGTCCGCTGACCTCAGAGAATGTGATGGGACATACGGCTGCAGCAGATCAGTGAGATAGGAGGGTGCAGAGCTGTTCAGTGATTTATAGACATACAAGAGTATTTTGAACTGGATACAAAAGTGAACCGGTAGCCAGTGCAGGGAGGCCAAAATAGGTGTAATGTGCTCTCTTTTTCTCAAACCAGCCGGTCAAAGCAGATGGCCGCTTGTCCTGAGCCTGGTTCTGCTGGAGGTTTCTTCCTTTTAAAAGGGAGTTTTTCCTTTTCACTGTTGCCACTGTGCTTGCTCAGGATGGGAGACTGCAATGAAGCCAAGATTCAACTTGTCTGCTGGCCTCTTTAGATAGAGAACTTTGCTAATTGGCTTTTATGTATGTGAATGTTCTTGTAAAGTGTCCTGAGACAACTTTGTTGTGATTTGGTGCTAAATAAATAAACTGAATTGAATTGAATCTTTTGCCTGTACTGGTTGAAAATCAGGCTGCCGCATTTTGGACCAGTTGCAGTCATGCAGTGGAGGGCTGACTGATACCAAACAGGAGCAAGTTGCAGTAATTAAGCCTGGATGTTATGAATGCATTACTTGGTAAACAGGGTCAGAACGCCAAGGTCCCTGCCTTCAGCCACTGCCCATGGCATCACGCATCTGACTTTTATGGCCCTTCTTGCAGGTGGTGGGTCCACAGGAAGGCAAACCCATGCTGCTCCTTCGGGCTGAGCCCAACCGGGCCCCATACCCGATCACCAGGTGCTCATCAACGAGCCCCTCCCTCAGGCCTGGCTCCATGGTGGGGCCCCGGTAACCCACGTCCAGGCAAGGGACACCGAGATCCTTGCTGTGTCATGTCCATTAAAATCTTTTGAATCAGTTATTGTCTGGCCTGTCACCTAGGACCAATCTGCCTTGGGAGACCCTACCAGGGACAATTTTAATTGCTCCCGACAGCATAGCTCCTAGGATCATTCAGCTGCACAAACTCCACCACTATAAGGTGGCAATTCAAGGAAATTTTTATACTATTTTATACATGTTCCTCTTTTTAGTATTTTACACCGTTTTATAATGTAGCTTGTTTTTGTCTTTTTGTATCATTTCTTTTATTTATGTTTCATTTTATATGCTTGTCTATTGTTGACTGTACCTCATCTGCGTTATTTAAAACAGGTCTCTCTTCAGAAGGAACAAACACATCTACCTACACCCCCCCCCCCCCCCCAAAACATAGGTGGTATCAGCGGTGGAATTAGTCTCCAGTGGTCTCCAAGTACTTGTGTGTACACCTTACCGATAACCTCAGCTGGAGCAACAACACCACCAGCTTGATCAAGAAAGCTCATCAGAGACTCTACTTCCTCAGACGGCTGAGACGAACTGGTTTAAGAAGCTCAGTCCTCACCTCCTTCTACAGGTGTGCAGTGGAGAGCATCCCGTGCTCCAGCATCAACGTGTGGCTTGGAAGCTTCACAGCTACAGAAAGAAAAGCTTTGCAGAGAGTGGTGAAGGCTGCACAGACGTCTGTTGGAGTCAGTCTCCCCACCATCATAGACATCTACACCTCCAGATGCAGGAAGAGAGCCACCTGCATCATGAAGGACCCCACTCACCCAGCACACACACTTTTTGCCCTGCTCCCCTCAGGTAGAAGGTTACAGAGCATTAAGTGTAGAACCACTAGACTGAGGAACAGCTTCTACCCTGAGGCTGTTAGACTCATGAATATCTAATCAGGATAATCACTGTGAAAAATCACATCATGTTGCTGCTGATCTGTTTCATGTTGCTGCTGATCTGTTTCATGTTGCTGCTGATCTGTTTCATGCTGATGTGTTCATGCATGCTCATCTGCTCACACAGACTCATGTTCGTGCTGCTGTTCGGCGTATTGTTTTTATGCTGTTAGTGCATTTTTAGTTCATGTTTGTCTTAGTTCTTATCTTAGATCTTATTACTGTTTTTCTTTTGCATTTTATTGTTGGATGTGACTGGGACCCTGTTTAAATAATTTCGGTCCACCACGTCACCACGTGGTGCGAATGACAAATAAACTCTTGACTCTCTTGAAAATGAGTCCTCGTGACTCAGTGAGACTAACCAGTATAAATAGAGGTTGAATACTGGTTTAGATGCTTTCCCTCTGTAAAAATTTCAGCTTACTTAATTACTCACCAAACTCCACTATAACAGATTCATACTATATCACAATAAATCATTATTTTACAAAGATTGTATGGAGAGGAACATTTGGTCTGTTGTACACTTAATGGACGCTAATGGTTACATGTTAAACTATGAACAATTCTGTGCAAAGTATAAATTCAATCCCCCCAAAGTTGAATTTACCAGATTACTTAAATCATTACCAAAACAATTTATTAATCAGATTCAAAATGTAATAGTATGTCATCCTATAACCCCACAATTACCCACTCTATCTATTAATGGAATATCATTTACTGACAAAAATTCAACAACTACACAATTAGCAGCTGTCTGAACAAAACTTTATTCCCTGGGAAAATAAACAATAATAACATACTTTGCAAATTTGAAAAAATAAAAATAAAAATGAATAGAAATGTTAAGAACTCTATATTTAAAACGCCCCAACCAAAGGCTAAAGAAACACACTTTAAAATATTAAATGCAGTTTATCCTCCAAGGAGCTACTAAGAAATTGTTTTAATATTGATGACAATAAATGCTCATTCTGTGAACAGGATATAGAAACAATAGACCATATTTTCTATGAATGCAACAAAACCTAAATATTTTGGAATCACTTAGAAAGATGGATCACACTGAAAATTGCACTTCCTCAATCTATTTCCAGTGACATAGTAACATTTGGAGTATTTTTGCGAACAAAAAAAGGAACTCGGTTGTAATCTGATATTTTGATTGGAAAAAATATTTATTCATAAACAGAGAGTGCTAAAATCATCCCCAGTTTTTAGCAATTTTTTTTATCTGAATTCCTGTTATATTTGAAATCTCTGAAACATATTGAAACACGTGAAGACCTGTATGAAATGTTAATGGAATTCACTAATGCATGTTGATCCTAAAATATATACCCCCTTGTTGTAGTTTACTTTTTATTTATTTATTCTACCGTATTTTGATTACACCAGTTTTGCTTTAGATGTTCCCATATCTAAGTCTGCCTCTGCCATGACTTCTATAGATTTACTTGTTTGTACTTGTTTTGATGAATAAGGTTTTCTTTAAAAAAAAAAAACCTTTAGGGACAAGAAGTGCCCATGATTAGTGATCACTTCCTGGAGTTTTTACAGACGAACTGTTTATTGTTATTGAAATATTTTTTTCCACTTCGGCTCGTTGATTGGTCACACGTGATGACGTCACTGCGGCCCCCTCTTTACGTCAGAGGACAGAGGACCACCTGTCCTCCGGGCTGCACTGGACGCTGGGGGCTGCTGGGACCATGCAGACAGCGGGGTTCGGACTGGTTCTGGTCGCCGCGGTGCTGGTCCGGACCCGGGCCGAGGTGGTGGACGACATCCTGGGCAGCCTCGCGCGCGGAGTGTCCTTCCTTGAGCTGCAGCACGCGCACATCAACCTGGACGGGGCGGTGGGCTTCGTCATGCTGCAGGGTAGGTCTGCCGAACCGGAACCGAGCCTGCAGCAGCAGAACCCGAGTGTTTCATTTCTTTCTTCAGACGCCTGGAGCGAAATCATTTTAATAAATCATTCAAATTAATTAAAAAAAAAAAAAGATCAAATAATTTCATCAAGCTATACACGGATATAAATAATGACAATAATATAAATAATGATAATAATAATATAAATAACTGATAATATTAATAATAATTATTATTATTATTTATTAACATGTTAATAAAAATAATAATTTAACATTATTTATCTGAGGAGCAGACTACTTTGAGTTTAACTCCATCACAGAACTCTCATCTTGAGCAAGCATGAAGGCGACAGTGGAAAGAAAAAAACTCCCTCCCTCATGAGGAAGAAACCTTTAGCAGAACCAGGCTCAGGAGGACAAGTGGCCATCTGCTTCGACCGGCTGAGAGGAACAGATACACAATGGCAGGTCAAGAGTCACATGTTAAGATATAAATAGTATCAAATGAAAACTTCAATTTTAACAATTAATTTAAGGAAATTATGTCAGTTTGTCTTCTAGTAATCTAAGCCTATAGCAGCATAACAAGCCCACCCTAACTATAGAATTTATCAAAAAGGAAAGTCTTAATCCCACTCTTCAAACTGGACAATGTGTCAGCCTCATGGGCAGAAACTGGAAGTTGGTTTCACAAGAGAGGAGCCTGATAACTGAAAGATCTTCCTCCCATTCTGCTTTTGGAAACTCTAGGAACCACAAGTAAACCTGCAGTTTGAGAGTGAAGTGCTCTGTTAGGAAAATATGGGACAATAAGATCTCTGATATAAGATGGAGCTAGGTTGTTGAGAGCTTTGTAGGTTAGAAGTAAGATTTTTTGAATTATATTCTGGATTTGACAGGGAGCTAATGGAGAGAAACTAAAACTGGAGAGACATGATCTCTCCCTCTAACTCCAGTTAAAACTCTGGCAGCAGCATTTTGGATCAACTGAAGGCTTTTTAAAAAGGAGTATTTGGACACCCAGATAATAAACCGTTGCAATAGTCCAGTCTAGACGTGACAAATGTATGAACCAGTTTTTTTGCATCATTTTTAGATGTTTCTAATTTTAGAGATATTATGCAGGTGGAAGAAGGTTCTAGTAAGGTTTTTAATGTGGAGGATAAAAGACATGTCCTGATCAAAAATAACACAAAGATTTTTAACATTAGAGCTGGAGGACAGATTAATGCCATCCAAGGAGGCAGAAAGACTGAAAAATTAATTCCTAAAATGCTCAGGTGCAAAAACTAAAACCTCAGTCTTGTCTGTGTTCAAAAGCAGAAAATTTAGGGTCATCCAGGTTTTAATGTCTTTAAGACATGCTTGTAGTCTAAGTAGCTGATTGGATTCATTGGGTTTCATGGACAAATATAACAGTGTATCATCAGCATAACAATGAAAATGTATCCCATGCTGTTTAATAACTTTACATAATAGAAGCATATACAAGGTAAAGAGTATTGGCCAAGCACTGAACCCTGAGGAACTCCATGACTAACTTTGGTGCATGATGAAGATTCATTATTTACATTTACAAACTGGAATCTATCAGATAAATATGATTTAAATCAATTTAGAGCTGTTCCTGTAATTCCAACATCATATTCAAGCCTCTAATAGAATATTATGATCAGCTGTATCAAATGCAGCACTGAGGTCTAACAGGACCAGTGTAGACACCTGTCCATTGTCAGAGGCCATGAGAATATCATTAGTAACTTTCACCAGTGCAGATTCAGTGCTGTGGTGAGCTCTAAACCCTGAATGAAACTTTTCAAACAGATTATTTCTTTTCAGATGATCACGTAACGATTTTCTCTAGAATTTTTGAGATGAACGTTAGATTAGATATAGGTCTATAATTTGCCAGAATTCCTGAGTCAAGGTTATGTTTCTTAAGTAAAGGTTTAATTACAGCAGTCTTAAAGCTCTGTGGTACATAACCATTCATTAGAGACAGATTAAGCAATAATATGATAATAATGATGAGTTACAACAACATTTAATTTCCCTTTGGGATTAATAAAGTATTTTTTAATTGAATTTGAATAAAAATAACTATAATAATAATATAAATAACTGATAATAATATTAATAATATTAATCATAATAAAAATAACAATAATAACAATAATATAAATAACATTAATAATAATATAAATAATGATAATAATAGACCTCAGATCCCAGCATGGTGTATCCGTCCTCCAATAATGATAATAATATAAATAAATATTATTATTAAAAAATGTTTGTATCAGAACCTGCAGGTGAATCAGAACAGATTGGTTTTCTCCTCTTTGTGCGTCACTTCTGACTGTCGGACCCATCCGGGTCAGAACCTGTTGTAACTTCCTGCTGCTTGTTCTGTCTCAGCGGAGCTGAAGGAAGCGGTCCGGACCTGGCCCCACACCGACCCGGTCAGCTGGGCCCAGAGGACCACGGCCAATGCTCTGCTCAAACGTTTGGACCAGAACCTGGACAAGGCCGTCACAGCGCTGCGGCAGAACGACCCGAAATACTACCGAGGTCAGAACCCGGATCAGGTACAGGTTTAGGTGGGAGGTTGGTTCTGATATCTGTCACAATGTCTTCTGGACCCGTCCTGACCAGAAACCTCTGCAGGGCTTATAGAACCTGCCTGGTCTGTGATACCTCCTGTTCGGGTCCAGCTCAGACTTCACAGCAGAACCATCATTCTAAGCTGAACCGGGTCTGCTGTTTGCAGAACCAGCTGTGGAACTGAGCATGTGGCTGTGGCATGTTGAGGAGGTTCTGACGGTTCTGATCCATGCTTCCTTTCAGAGTTCGAACCCCTGCTCACCTGGAGGTTCTGGCTGACCCGTCAGGCCCGGCGGACCTCAGATCCCAGCCTGGTGTACCCGTCCTCCATGACGTCCGAGTGCTACGACGAGCAGCTCAGTGACAAGTGTCTGACGCTACTGCTGGGCACCTGGTACGGACCAGAACCGGGCCGTTGAACCACCCCTGTTGGAGCTCTGCAGTTGTTTGATGTGTCTCTGTTTGGACAGGAAGACGAACGGGACGCCCTGCATCGTCACCAAACCCTGCAGGGACACCATGACCCGCTTCGGCTGTCCACACTACTCCCTGTCCCACCAGCTGCTCTACTTCCTGATCGGCAGCATGGTGAGACGTCTTCCTGTCCCCTTCCTGTCCTTACTTTCTGATCAGCAGCAAGATGAGACGTCTTCCTGTCCCTTTCCTGTCCCCTTTCTGTCCTTACTTCCTGATCGGCAGCATGGTGAGACATCTTCCTGTCCCTTTCCTGTCCCATTCCTGTCCTGACTTCCTGATAGGCAGCATGGTGAGACGTCTTCCTGGTCCCTTCCCGTCCCCTTCCTGTCCTTACTTCCTGATTGGCAGCATGGTGAGACGTCTTCC